TTTCCCGTGCACAGAAATCTTTAAATTTCTTTAACTTCCCACATTAATTTTTTGTTCATTTTTGGACAATATGGAGATAATTGTAAATAAAATCTGTTTCTGGAAAGAAAAATAGGGGTCACCGAACGTCCAAGATCGTTAAATCCAGTCAAAGGTGTAGCAAGGGCCATCTGCCCCATCATTGTTCATTTTATTACTTAGCGCGCGCGCTCATGCATGGCGTGGCGTGTGAATTTGCGTGCGCAGTAAAAATGCGCAGAAACAATTAGCGCGAACGTCCTTAAGGCTCGAATATCCTCGCCTCTGGCTGGCGGTTTGGCTGTAATGAATACAGGTGAAGCTGACTCTTTCAGAGCCCTGGTCGTTTTACAGGTGTTTTATTCTTTAGCCATGGCGCTTTGACAATAACACATCCTGTCATTGTCATTTTCTTTAGTAAGGTGTGTGAACATGGCCTGACGGGAATTTAATGAACTTTTATGTTACCGCAGCATCCTTGTGACTTAATTGACTTCTGCTTTCAGTATTTGATGGACATGATGATGGGGAGTGTGGCTTTAGGTGGTGGTCATCTGGCTACAGTAAGTAAATAACTTGCCTACCTGGATTAGGGAAATGACAATGACTCATAACATGTATTGAAAAGAACATGTTTTAGTGCCAACACTACAGACAGAACTTCNTTTAAAACAAGAAAAACTGACTTCAAGATAGCTATTTACTATAGAGAGATTCTGATATTTACGCGTGTGATGCCGGTTAAACGGGATGTGCAATCATCGGCGCCATTAGAACAAAAATGCTCTATAGATCTCATCCCTTTTAAGAAACGCTCTCTGGCTACTTTCCGCACTACAGACAGCGTCCAACAGATTCTTAAATTGCAAATCAAGCAAGGTATCATGATCGCGTTATTTACTTTAATGTAACTTGAGTATTTTGCTGTAAATTTTGACCTGTAAATTTGGCGCAGCGCAAAGAAAATGCTGACGTTATGAATTTTTGGCAAGGGATAAAGCAACAGCCACTGTAACTTCCAGCATCATAGAGTAAATCAATTCTCTTTTTGAAAAGAATTCTGAAAAAGAAACCTCTGGGAAAGGTGAGAAGAAGGGGGTGGTGGCATTTATCAGGCCTTTTGTACGCCCGCTGGTTAAAAGTGAGGTGGGAAATTCTCATGAATATCATTGTCGCTATTCTTTAGTCATTTATTAACTTACTGCATTGTACATTAACTCAATCTCTTGAACTTTATTTCAACCAGGTTCAAGACGAGCCCTGTATGGTTATCCTTGTCCCGGGGATCCCAAGGATAGTCGTGGAATATATGGTAACAGTGATGGGATGCTGTATGTCAAGTAAATGAACAAGCGTTTGGAAGAGATGTCTTTTGCAAGTCTACCAGAGTTTTCTTAGAAAATAGATAAACCCGGGGAGCACGAGTACCTGAAGATTAAATAACACGTAATCATGATTTCGATATCAGTCTAACAAGAGATAATAATTAATAATTAGTGCGGGTATAAACATGTTTTGGGACCGATTCAGACTCATTTTAGCTCGAGCCGCTAGGCGAGGATTAAAAATTAATGAGCTCTGAGA